ACTTCAGGAAGGACAAAAGATAGCATGTTAAGTGAAATGGTACACTGGCTATATTTTACTAAATAATATTTAATGCTTACGTGGGGAATAGTAGCCAGGCTGGTACTGAGCATTACAAGGACTATAACTGGTGAAATTTGGACTTCCATGGTTTGCGTGGGCCAGGAAATTCTGCTGAATGTGCACAGCATTGGCGCTTGAGTTTACTCCAGTGTAAGGGCGGTTTAAAGGTACTGGTAGCTCTTTGCCTGAGGAAAACAAAGCAGAAGGAAGAGCCGCAGCCCTCATCAGGAATCGTGGTGGGATGGGGGTCCCAGTGTAGGCTTGGGTTTTACTTGGATAGTAAGGAGGAGTGGCCTTTTGATTTGTGGGGCTCAGCAGCAAAGAGCCTCCCGAAGAAACTGGAAGACACAAAGCACAACAACAACCTTTTAGACAGTACGAGAGGGCTTAAGTGTTGGTACAGGAGGGCACAGACTTATTGTCCTTAATAAGTTCAATATGGTGTTCGGAAATATGACAGAAAACCCTATCAGGGTAATATTTCTTGAAAACATCTGAGTATTTTCTCTGTGACATGTAAGATTGTCAAATGAAAGTTTAGTAATTCCTCTGGTCAACAGAAAAATATATTTAGAATACTCTCAAATGAGGTCAACTCTCCAGCAACACTTATAGTACAGCTTTATTACTTATGTCAAGGTCATCCCTCATGAAGGCCACAGGCCCAAACATGCCGATCAAGTAATAAAGCTGTGCTTCAACCTCTTTAGACCCTTGTTCTAAAGAGGAAGTAGGCGAAGTTGCGGCAGAAAGCTTTGTTCTGTTTTAAAGAATATTCTTCAGTTACAAAGTTTATGTACATAAAATGGGACAGTGTTGTATTTTTTTAAGGAGCTGATGACCCTTTTTACACAGAACTACTGTGCACTTTTGCAGAAACTACTCTTGTGGCTGAGGAACAGTTAGTGTGAACTTGAGCACCTCAGGGAAACCATATATTTCCACTATTATCCCTTAATAGCACTTGCCTCTTCTCATAGATGTTCCTCTGTCTTCCCCATCCCGATACAGGCGCTGATATCCACTCGGGGACCGGCACTTTATGTTCAGACCGGCTTGCAGCTTGGCCTTATTGTCCACGGTGAGCCTCCTCAGCCTCGAAACGAGTTCAGGCTGGTCTCGCTTGAAGTTGGGGTTGTAAAAGCTTGGATACTCCTTGCCGTCCAGGTCCTGTTGAGGGTCGGCCTTCTTGAACCCGTACAAGTTGAGCTGACGGACAAAGCTGGAGAAGTTGGTGGTTTTGAAGGAGTCGGCACTGCCCGCGATGATGGCATTTGGAGACAGGATCTGCTTCTCGAACAGCTGCTGGTCAATGACGATTACCTCGCCCTGGCGGTCCCAGCAGATGGCGTTGTAGGCCGGGTTGTTCACCAGACGCCACAACTTTGCAGGAAAATTGCTGGGGTTGATTGAGTCCGGGAGTGAATTTAAACCGACTTCCATGCCTTTGCCTGTGCAACTGAGACAGGTATAACAATATTAAACAGCCCTGGTCAAAGCAGCTAACCTGCTTTACATGTTTATAACGTTACTATTTAACTTTAGTTTATGTTTTACATACACTCAAGTTATAACAAGTTAACAAAGTTATTTAACCACCATTCATTATATTAAACACATAATTACCCTTGTTAATGAAAACGGATTAAACTTTTTTAAAATTATAAATAAAATGCTGTAAAAAGTAAAATGTTATCTTTCACTGTTTCTGTTACTCTGCTAGCATTAGCTAACATTAGCAGTGGCTGTGTTATCTTGTCAAACAGCCTCTCCTAAGTAAAGAACTTTTTAGTTAAGAGCTGTTTTATCCATCTCCATATTTTCTCATATATTTTAAGTAAGGTTAAATCTAAAATAAACACTGTAATAACTGCACCTGTATCACCAAGTCGCACTGGGAACCGTTGGAAGTTTACTGCCGTTGGTGGAGGTGCTGGAGTTCAATGTGACATCCCTCCGTTACTTTAAACAACGCTTAATTTTGGGGGACTACAAAGCCCAAGATCCTTTCACATTTCAACGCCGAAACTGGACCCTAAACGTCACACAGAGAGCCAAAAACAGTTTACAGCCTCTGGTTTACATGCTTTTGTTGCCATAGGCACACAAATGCCTTTAGGTAATATATGTTACTTTTAAACTGTTTTGCAAATAGCTCCAATGAATGCATCGCAGGTTCTCACACAGCCTGCTGTTTATAGCTTACATTTCACATCATCTGAGTTTATTTCTGAGTTTATTTACTTGCAGCTTCATACAAGACGCAAGATGATGAGCCTCTCCAAAGTTGGATGTGGCACGGCAACAGTGCAGTGACAAACGCAGGTTAATTATCCATGATAAACAAATAAGAAACAAAATGTGAGAAAACGATGTTAACTGTTGAAAGAGATTTGACTGGTAACATAATCAGTGTTTAGGTCAATGGAATTAATAGATGTCACCAAGCACATGTGGTGTGAAATTGTACCAAATGAAAACACGCTGAGCTGTGTCGCCACCTAGTGATAAGGAAGTAGTTTATTATTATTATTATTATTATTATTATTATTATTATTATTATTATTATTATTGTTGTTGTTGTTGTTGTTGTTGTTGTTGTGATTATTATTATTATTTGTATTTAGATGTAGACAGCATCATCTATCTACATTTTGTGAAAACAAAAAATCTCACTGCCAAGCCAGTAAAATACATCCAATTTGTATCCTTTCATTGTCAAAATCCGATGTGTTGCTAATTCTATGTAATATTAACAACCTGTTAACAACATTACATGAGACTGGTGTGTAGCACCGCTTGAGGAGAACATGATGCCTTTATTCAGGTATGCAAATTCTGAAGTCAGTGAAACAATAACTCCAATCTCCACATTTCGACCTTTCTTCGAATTAGGTTTTTTGACTTTAATCTCAAAATTTTGACTTTATTGTCAAAATGATCAATAACATTTTTGTTTCTTAAGGTGGCCCTAATACTATGTCGTAAATATCCATCCATCCATTCGCTTCCGCTTATCCTTTTCAGGGTCGCGGGGGGCGCTGGAGCCTATCCCAGCTGTCATAGGGCAAAAGGCGGGGTACACGCTGGACAGGTCGCCAGTCTGTCGCAGGGCTAACACATAGGGACAGACAACCATTCACACTCACATTCACACCTAGTGGCAATTTGGATTATCCAATTAACCTATCCCCACAAGCTGCATGTCTTTGGATGGTGGGAGGAAGCCGGAGTACCTGGAGGGAACCCACGCAAACACGGGAGAACATGCAAACTCCACACAGAAAGACCCCGGCCTGATGGTGGAATTGAACTCAGGACCTTCTTGCTGCAAGGCAACAGTGCTAACCACCGTGCCACCGTGCTGTAAATATCACTTTAGTTTATTATCAAACCTGGCAGCTCCGCACTCACCTTCAAGACTGAGGACGTGGTGAGAGCTCTCAGGAGGACCAGGGAGAGGAGCTCACCCGGCCCTGACAACATCAGCAGTCAAGTTCTGAGGCACTGTGCAAGGCAACTAAGTGTGTTCCAGACTCTATTTCAACACTCAATTGACAGTCACACCGCCCCCAGCTATGGAAACACTCCACAGTCACCCCCACCCCCAAAAGAAACAACCCAAAGTCTCTCAATGATCTTCATCCTGTGGCCCTTACCTCCCTGGTGATGAAGGCCATGGAGAAGATCATAAAACAGCACATTGTAAGAGCAACTGACCCCCTGATGGACCCACTTCAGTTTGCTTACCGTGCACGCAGAGGCGTCGATGACGCAAAAATCTTCATCTTGGACTCCATCCACAAACATCTGGAGCTCCTTCACTCCTCCGCCAGACTTCTCTTTGCTGATTTTTCATCAGTGTTCAACACTCTGCAGCCTCATTTCCTGGCCATTAAACTTTCTTCCCGATTTCACCTGATCATCTAATCCTGTGGATATTGGACTTTTTGACCAACAGGACTCTGGTCTCTGTTCCACCTCCACTGGCTCCCCCCAGGGCTCTGTGCTCTCCCCCCTGCTCTTCATCCTCTAGACCGATGACTGCAGATCCACTCTTCAGAAGTTTGTAGTTTGCTGTCACACCACTGTGTGACAGCTCCAAACTTGAACTGAACGTGAGCAAAACCAAAGAGATGGTGGTGACCTGGCTGCTTCAGTCACCACCACCATCCATGGGAAGCCTGTGGAGGTAGTTGAGGAGTACAAATACTTGGGAACCATTTTTGACAACCTCATGAAATTCTCTGCTAACACAGAGGAAATTCTCAGGAGGTGCCACCAAGGGCTAATGGCCTTGTTGGCTGAAAACCTGTGCAAGAGTTCTGACAGGCAGGCCAATGATTTTTGAGCACACTGATGCAGTGTGCTGCAGTCTGTTCCTGTTCTGAAGGCTGAGGGAGGGAGTGGAACCAGCAGGTAATGGAGAAGGTCATGTTGCTTTCCAGGAAGGCATAGTAAAAAGGCATAGTAAAAATTAATTAATGTATTAATGACCCCTCTCACATTCTTCACCCCGCATTTCAATGGCTCCCCTCTGGGCGGCGCCTCCGCTGCACTTCCTGCAGGACTGAGAGGAGAAGAGCCACCTTTGTCCCCAAAGCCACTCTGCTTTTTAACTCCAGTCGATAAGACCATTTCCCACACCCATAAACATAAATTACTCTACACTCTTTTTTATGCTGCTAACACTTCATTCACTTTTAGTCACTTACAGTTATTTATTCACTTATTCAGTCACTTTAATTTTAAAACTGTGTATATACTGTATATTTTAAGTATTTTTTTTTTATCTCATTCTTATTGCCTGTTTATGCCCTGTCCTTATTTTTAACGTCATGCTGCTCTGTTGTATCTTAATTGCCCCTTGGGGATAAATAAAGTGTCCCTGATTCAGATTTTTTTGTGCATGGACTTTTATTCAGGCGGACTACAGGGACGCCTCTGGGTTGCTAGGGCCTTATAAAGTGACGTAATATCCAGGCGACTAGAAAATCATCATAATATTAGTTGGCGTGATTGTTTAGTGTTTGTTCAATTATTTCGTCCGAACATAATGGCATTAGAAACAGTCCCCAAAGACCTGCGCCACCTGAGAGCCTGTCTGCTTTGTTCGTTAGTGAAGGTAAATCTTTATCTGAGAGAAAAACACTGTGAGGCTAGCTCCTGTGCTAACGTGGTGCTCTGCGCAGTGTTTTCCTCCTGTTTGGCCTAACAGGAAAATTAAAACTTCGAAATGACGCTTGGTTGCTTTTAGTCAAGGAATTATACCTAAGTATTCACTGGGGCATTTTTGTTTACAAAAAGACATCTGTGCTAGTTTGTTTGGTTTCTAGTCCCACGATAACGACTTGGGGCCGTACTAGAAAAATGTACAGAACCTGGCAGAGCCTGGGTAGAAGGTGATGTTATTGTGACAAAACGCAGAATAACGTTATTGGGGTTTTTTTTCTTAAGGTCGACAATAAGAAAAGAAACAAGGTGGACAATAATGGCTGAAGCGAAACTAAATATTTTAAGATTGACTTTAAAGTTAAAAATCCACGATAAATAAAACTAGAAACATTTATTGTTCCTCAATGCTTCCTCAGTGATTTATTTCGTAAGGTCGGGCGTGCAGGGAATCTGACTTTATTTTTGAGAAATTAAAGGTTTTTATTTTGGAGAGATTTCATTTAAAGTATAGCATGCTTACAGTAGTTTAAATGCGGGCTTCTTTTTGGTTTGTTTGTTTGTTTGTTTGTGTGTGTGTGTGTGGGGGGGGGGTTGGCAAATACCAGAAATGACACTTTGGCACAACACCAACACACAATCCCATCTCACTTTATTATTATTATTATTGTTGTTGTTGTTATAGTAGTAGTAGTATTAATACTATTATTATTTAACCATGCACAGCCGTTATCAGTGGATGTGCCAAGGTTTGTTGGCATCATTATCTATGGTGGGTTCCAATATATGTATGACCCTCATTAGAAATATAGTCTTGCTACACTGAAGTGCAGCATTTTTAAAGCAGTTAATATTTCTCAAGTAATATCTCACTTCTCATTTTTGATCCTTTCTTCTGGCTCTTTTTATTGGACTCATGCAATCTGATACCTCACTTTTCTCTTGCTCTCTTCCAATTTAGACCATTGACCAGTTTGAATATGATGGCTGTGACAACTGTGAGTCATACCTCCAGATGAAGGGGAACCGAGAGATGGTGTATGAATGCACAAGTTCCTCGTTTGATGGGTAAGTGTTGACTAAGCAGTAACTATGTGTTTCTTTGTCTGTTCTTCCCTATGGTTTACTGACACTGATTAAATGTTTATAGTGTGATCGCCATGATGAGTCCTGAAGATAGCTGGGTGGCTAAATGGCAGAGAATAGGTAAGGATCTGCTGAAGCATACAGTCATGGTTTTAAAAAAAGAAGAAGAAGACAGTACATTCAGTTCTAAGGTTTTATGTATCAGGACATGATAAAAAATCTTAAATTGTTCATTATTTATTTAAGACAAAAAGGAGACACTGTTTCTGGAAAAACGAAGTACATCTTACACTGCTTTTATAATAATTGAGAGGGAAAATGGCACTTGATCATCAGCCAGTCTGAGCACCTCTATAAAAGCAGATGATTTAGCAGGTGTGTGTTAACATAGTGTCAGGGTGAAAAACAATCAGCGGTGATCTCATGAAAGCAACTGTTAGTGCCCATCAATTTAGGAAGGATTATAAACCAAACTATTGGAATGTCATCATTCTACAGTGAGATCGATTACTCACAAGTGAAAAACATTCAAGATAGATATAAATTTTCCCAGTGGTGAACATTACAGCAAAGTCACCACAAGGTCAGACCATACACTGCTCAGAAAAAATGAACAACTAAGGCTTGTTTGAAAGGGTTGTCAGGAGAAAGCCTCTTTTCTCTAAAAAAGAACATGGCAGCATGGCTTTGGTTTGCAAAGTTGCATCTGAACAATCCACAAGACTTCTGGAACAATCCTATCAAAAGAGGCCAAAGTGGAGATGTTAAGCCAGTTGGTTGGAGAGAACCAACTGTCAAGCACGGTGGTGGAGGGATGATGGTTTGGGCTTGTTTTGTAGTCTCAGGACTTGAGCACCTTGTAGTCGACTATGAACTCCTACCAGGGTATTCAAATGTGAGGAGATGTCCCCAAAGCTAAATGTAGACTAAAATTGGGTAATGCAACAGGGCGATCGTGGCTCAAGAGTTGGGCGTTCGCCTTGTAATCGGAAGGTTGCCGGTTCGAGCCCCGGTTGGACAGTCTCGGTCGTTGTGTCCTTGGGCAAGACACTTCACCCGTTGCCTACTGGTGGTGGTCAGAGGTCCCGGTGGCCAGTGTCCGGCAGCCTCGCCTCTGTCAGTGCGCCCCAGGGTGGCTGTGGCTACAATGTAGCTTACCATCACCAGTGTGTGAATGTGTGCATGAATGGGTGGATGACTGGATATGTAAAGCGCTTTGGGGTCCTTAGGGACTAGAAAAGCGCTATATAAATACAGGCCATTTACCATTTACCATAACCCAGCAAACACAGCAGCAAATCTACAACATAATGGCTGAAAATGAAAGGAATCAAGGTGCTGCAGTGGCCCAGTCAAAGTCCATGCCTCAATCTGACTAAAATGCTGTGGCGGGACCTGAAGAGACTGTGTGTAAAAGAATGCCTGCAAGCCTCAATGAACTGAAGCAACAACAACAAAAAGAATGAGCCAAAACTCTTCCACAATGATGAGAGAGACTGATAGTCAAATGGAAAACTGCTACTTTAAGTTATTGGTGCTAAAGGTGGTTCAGCAAGCTTACTGAATCATCCAGAAAATCCAGAAATTAGTTTTTCCACAGTGCTTATAGATTTTGGCTTTGGATTAGTTTTTGTTAAATAATGACACAGATATGACACAAATATGTTATGTTGTTGTTCAAATGAAGTTATTTACCTAATTTTAAAACCAGGACTATAACATTTTTTACATGCTTTTTAATAAATCTTGTAAAACCTGCTAGTTATTAATGATAGCCACATAGTTCAGATTATGATCCATTTGTGTAATTATTTTTTTTCCTGCTCTGTCTTTCAGGCAACTTCAAGCCAGGTGTATATGCAGTTTCAGTGACTGGCAGACTACCTCCAGGTACATTCAAACACATCAGGGCACACACATTGGTTGGAATTGTCTTCTCACTTCATATGTTTCGGTTGCTCATTATTCTCTTCTCTGAAGGCGTAGTGAGAGAGCTGAAAAGCAGAGGGGTGATCTACAAATCCAGAGACACGGCAGTAAAGACGTAAATCCTGCTGATTGTCCCCAGAGCTGGATCATACTGTTTCACCATGTCTGTGATGTCTTGTGGAAATGTTAAGTTTTTGGAGCTTTTTAAATTTGGAAAAAAAAAACAAAGATTGCTGACACATAAGAAAAGGTAGATATGTCTTATTTGTTTGAATAGTTTACGTGAAATAAAAACCTGTTTTATAAAAAAAGTGAGTGAGTGTCTTAAAACAAATGAATACATTGGATTTATATGCACCTGTAATCTGTGAATTAACTAAGTTTTCAGTGTCCCCGAGCAAGTGAACATGATCAGTTAATTTTTAATGGGACTAATCTGTCTACTGTCCAGAAGGGCACACAATGTGGTTTCTGACTGATGACCTTGAGCTGCGGTCCAAAATGATGATGATGGGGGTGAGGTCTCTAAGAGGACTGTGGTTAGACTCCGAGTTCATTCAACCTTTCTGGAACAGATTGCTGATATATGTTGACCAGAGAATACAAATAAACGCGTCCACATTCATGACTAACCTGGATATTTATTTGTTTTTAAAGGTATCTAAATTAGGTGGACCTTAGATTTTAGGTTTTAGACCATTTTTGACTTTTCAATTTATTTTTTGAAGGTTTTTTCCTATTTAATCTTTATGTTTTCAACATATAATGTCAGTCTTTCCACTCCTACAAGCCATTATGTTTGTTTATTTTAAAGTTTTTTAGCAAATAATAATAACTAGAAAATGCATTTTCTAACGAAACTGCAGTGTGGATGCTGATAGCTGAATGTTTTGAGCGGAAATGAAGCAACTGCTGAATGTTAAGTTAAAAATGTTGAAGGAGATGAAAAACAGAATGTTTCACTTGAAAACAAAAGTGTTTAAAGCTGATTTTCAGACAGGAAGAAGTTGAAAAGTAGCTGACCATGTTTAAAATGTACAGTAGAAAAAGTTGAGTAATGACAAAAGAAAATTCAGTCACAAAACATCTGAAGAAATATTTGAAACCTCATATTATTTAAGTCCCTGAATGTCTGAAATGTGGGAAAATCCACTACAGACAGTTAAATACTGTAACTTTTAATCATCCGGTCAGAAAAGATGATTATCTTTCAGATAATCATCTGGTCATGATCATCAAAAGTCATCAACTGACTCCACTGCCCACATTCTGCCATTGAAATACATGGTAAATTTTTGTTGAATAAAGTTGAATAATTTAAAAAATATAAAAGTTAAAAATGAGGAAAATACAAGCAGTCATGTCCAAAAGAAGAGGAATCTAACGGTGGTTGACTGGTTTTTCTAAGTTGAACGGTGTTGAAGGAGATAGATGCCAAAAAATGTACGGAATATGAAAAGTAGAAGAACAATCCTTGCTTGTGTGCTTAATCAGCATCCACACTAATAAAGCCAAATACCATCACCAAGCATTATTTCATTATTTCCGTTAAAAAAATATGTTGTGACAGGTTAGTATCATGCATCTAATAACATGCGTTACTTTTAATAGTCAGCAGGGGGCGACTACACTGGTTGCAAAAAGACCCTTGGCTCCTTTTCTCTACAATCTCAGCAAACACAGACAGCTTTATGGTTTTAATCTCTAGTTTCACATCATATTGAATAAAACTTTCTTTTACAAATGATGAATTCTTACAGTCAGAAAGGAGGATTATTCAGGGTCATTAGCCAATAAGTTATATAATCGATTTCTCTGTTTCTTCCGTCACCATTTGTCACATATGGTCGCAAAACACTAAGATGGCAAAGGTGGTTCATTCTGATTGTTGTTCATTCTGAGCAACAGAGTTCATCATGTTTTTTTTAGTTGGCTAGACCCTTTAAAAAAATCCTCCCTGTACTTCTTTAGCTGCATCACTAGATGGTGCTTTTTACTCAGTGCCGGAATTCCCTGCAGCCGCCGACACTGCCGACAGGTGGAGAACTCTCAGCCAAAGTGTGAACGTGTAAATTTAGCTAACCTTTCACCTGAAGTGCTGCGTGCGATAGTCTCCAGTTAAATTTAAGCCTTTTCAGATCCGGTATCTGCTGTGGTTACCGTTTCACTTACAGCACAATAGTGTGAAGAGAATATCATCTTTATTGTCATCCTGTGCTGTTCAATATATCAGGTGTAGTTCAGGTGGAGTACTACACTACTGGAGTATATTATCACTTAAGAAAACACCTCCACTTAACACCATGTGTGTCCTCTGACTTAACTGCAGCCTGGAGGACATCCTTGCACATGATCTCGGTCCGCTTCTCCGGTTGTCTTCATTTGTGATGCTGTGAGTCTTCACTGCACCGACACCTGCTCCTGACATTTTGTTGCAAAGGCACAGTTAGTGAAGCCAGTCTGTCAAAACTCACTGAGAACTCTTAGCCATATTGAAGACTAACAAGCGGACCCGTAACGCTGGCAGGAAACTTAAAACTTGGTAAAATAGCAGTAGGTGAAAACTGCATAAAAAAGATGCGATGCGATATGAAAGCTGTGCCGGTTTCATGTTTCACAAAGCATTTCTCATTTTACTTTTGCGGGTAACCTGAAGAGACGTGCGATGACGTTAATCAAATGTCATGACCTACAATGAACGAAGAACTACTTATTTTCATTGTTCTTATCTCCATAAACTGGAGAAAAAAAGGTTAATCCACCAGAGGATAACTTTTCTCCATCTATTCATAATGATGACATAATCTCTCTAGAAGAAAATATGCAGATCAGTGCTGAAGATCACTGCCGGTTGAAATCCTGTATTTCACAATTGCTGAACCACAGTGAGACACATCATTTTCTCCAAACTCCAAACACAAAATCAGTTTTTAAAAAAAATGAAAACACAGTGTTCTGGACATATGACTTCTTCTTTCCGACCTCCTGTGGCTGTCTTGTGTGTGTGTGTGTGTGTTCTCTGACTTCCTTGCACCATCCACAGACATGCAGGAGAAGTTAATCGGTGTTTCTCGATTGGCTGTGTGTGTGAATGGTTGCCTGTCTCTCTGATAGACTGGTGATCTGGTGTTTCACCACATTTCACCCGGTGACAGCTGGGATAGGCCTAAGAAGGTAAAATGGATGGATGATGTGCTCTGTATACTAAGGGGAGTATAACATCATAGTCAAGTACTGATCTAACATGGACACAGTAAATTCTAGCTAATTCTAGCAATGGTTAACTCTGTGTTCAATTTGCATTCATGTATTTAATTCCCCCAGCTGCCACATTCGGGTCAGAGGTCAGGGTCAGCAACCAACCCTGTAGCACCTGTGCCGTTTCGTTCATGGCAGGCGACCTGCTGACTCTCTGCTTTGTGTAACATCTGGTATTTTGCAGTAAAGGAGACACAAATTATTATGTAAGTTTAAATATTGCACAACTTCATGTATTTTACAGAATAAATAAATATTGCAATGTAAGTAAATGTAATAAGTGCCTAAATTCTGGGTATTTTAAAGGAAAGGATACACAAATTATACTGTAAGTAATTTTAAGTACTACATCATTTTAAATACTGTGTAATTCCTTGGTTATCTTGTGGAAAAGCAAACAATATTTCCCCATCTTACATTGTATTTACAGTTTAGTTTTCAGGGCACAGGCCATATTGTGGAGTTACCTAACTTCCAGTTATTTTAAAGGAAATGAGACAATCCTTTCCTGTACACTACCTTTGAAATTTGTGTTTGAACAGTGATTGTGACACGGAAAAAATAGACTTGGCTTCATCATTACGGTCACGTGGGTCTGCGAATTTTGATGGTCCTTAGTTTTTCTTGTAAGTGGTTAAGAGAGGACAGTCCTAATCTATCTATCTATCTATCTATCTATCTATCTATCTATCTATCTATCTATCTATCTATCTATCTATCTATCTATCTATATGCAAATGTGTAAAAAGATTATTTCACTAATTATTCCCTGTAAAACCTGGCTTGTTACCTCCTTATTCTAGTATGCTTTAAGTATTTGTAGATAAATATTATTTTAAACAAAATACACTGAAATTGAATGTAATTGCAGAGGGATTACACTCTTTGTCACGAGTTATATTATAAAGTGCTACAATAAAACTTCGAAGACACAAATGAGAAAATACTCATTTTGTAAGTCTCATCTCATCTTCAAACACAATTACAGCCACTTTGCTCACATTCCTCCCTCTTCACCTACAAAACCATACAAATTAAATATCACTGTTATTCAAATGCCCAGCAGGTTAGACTTCTCTTTCCATCACAAGTAGAACAGAGACTTTTTGAAGAGACGCTTTACCTCCAGTGGTTGGAGGCAGTTGATAACCAAATGAGAAATAAACCACAAGTGTCAGTTTGCACTGTTCCATGTGGGCCCTGAGATCAGTCAGTGCATGTGCACCATCATTTAGTTGTTCACCTTGACACCCCCCCCCCACACACACACACACACACACACCACCACCACCACCATTTGCAGTGCGACACATAGAATACTAAAATGCAGTGGGGGTTTTTTTCCATGTGGCCTAAACCTGTCTTCATCAAACTACACGTGGGTGAAGTCATTTCACGAGGGCTGCAAACTAAAAACAAAACTGAGAACTTGGCTTCCACGACCGCAGGCGCTGTCAGGAAGGCTTTCGGCTCCGCCCATGTGCTGGCTTTTACTCAGATTAAGTGCTGCAGCAGCATTTGAGAGAAGCAAAGTGAAGTATGGCCTTCATTTTCTCTCTTTCTCTCTCTCTCTCTCACTCTCTCTCTCTCTCTCTCTCTCACACACACACACACACACACACACACACACACACACACACACACACACACACACACACACACACACAGAGCAACACCCATGAGGCTTCACTGGTGCCTTTGCCCTTATTTGGATGTATCAGTGCTCTGAGCTTAGGGGAAAGTAATAGATCATGAACCGAGGTGTTAACTTCAGGTTTGCACTAACCTTTGTTGAGAAAGAAAAAAAAAGCAAGTGGAAAGTTCTTCAGCTAAGTTTCGAAAAGTGCTCTGTCTGACTGGGATAAACGGGAATTAGGGAAGCAAGGGGATGTATTTTGCATGGGGGATGGACATTAGCAGCAAAAGGTCACACACACTTTAACTTGCTCTGGGTGTGTGTGTGTGTGTGTGTGTGTGTGTGTTTGTGCGTGCGTGCGTGTGTGTGTGTGTGTGTGTAAATGTGTTTCACAAGGCTTACAAAGCTTCCTCTCTTTGGCAGCTACAGAACTGAGAACATACTGAAGGATTTCAATTCCTTTTACAAATGCTGGCAGCTTCAATGGACAAAGCTATTGTATGTTAACGCTGGTCGAATACAAGAACAGCAGCATATTCACAAGTAAGCAAATGGTGAAAATCAAAAGGTATCAAAGCATGTATGAAAGTACTCATTCTGTAGTAAAATCCTCACTCGGGCTGTATGTTTCAGATTAACAAAAGTGTGTAAGGTGGACTTTTCTGTGTAGCATCTGAAAGTGAAGACGCTGTCAACTGCTAACTAACTGCCATGTCTGTGAGTAGTTCAGAT